AATACTAATTAAATGAGCTTTTGTTTTCCAACACCAGTAAAGATTAAGTGCCACATAAAGCAGCTGCAGCACAGCCCTATCCAAAATCCAATTTACCCTCCCAGCTGGCATCCACACACTGGTGTGCTTGGAAAGAGGCTTCTTGGCAACTCCAAAGTCACCTGAGGACTTCTCCTTGAGCCCCAGCACGTTCTGGGAGGTTGTTCACTAACAGAGCTATTCAGAAATGCTTTTTCCTCTTGGACTGCACTGCTCTGCCCAGCCAAGTGTGGAAAACACAAAGAGAAAGTCAGGAATTTGTAAAGAATCCATCTGACCTCTCCAGGGAGGTGGTGGAGTCACCATCCCTGGGAGGGTTCAAAAAACAAGGAGATGTGGCCTCTCACCATGTGGTTTATTGGCCATGGGGTACTTGGTCCAAAGTTGGATTTGATGGTCTTGGAGAGCTTTTCCAACCTTAATCATTCTGTGGTTTAGTGGACAAGGGGGTACTTGGTTCAAAGTTGGATTTGATGATCCTGGAGAGCTTTTCCAACCTTAAAGATCCTGTGATTTTGGTAACAGTGTGGTCACAGCACTGGTGATGGACAAGCAGCAAAGATCCAAGATTCAGAACCTGCAGAAAAGTGTGACCACCCCGATTTCCATGCTCAGGGAAGTGTCCCTCGTCCCCAAGGCTGCTCAATATGCCCTCCCTGCTTCCTGAAGAGACACAGATGCAGGAGTGCATTTCATTTTCTCCCTGAATAAGACCCCCAGAGCCACCAACACCTCACCCACAGAATTATAAACCAGGAGGCTGAAGCACAACCTGCACATCCAGTTGTAAATCTTCCAGAGATCAGAAACTTCTCCACAGCCCCTTTCTGACCAGCCCTGCTGCAGCAGGAACTCAGCAGGTCAGGCAGAAGAACTGCTGGCACTGGGTTTGCACCAGAACCCAAGAAGCCCCCCCAAAAAAGCTCCTGTTCTGTCAGGTGGGCAATGAATCATTCCTGGAGAAGCTGAGAAGGCAGATCCCACCCCAGGATACCCCAAGACCAGGTCATCAACCTGCAATTTCCCAGCATTTCCAAAGGCCTCCTTTGGATTTCCCACAGGACACTGAAAGCATCAGCTTTCTTCCATTTCTGGGGACTCACAGGTTTTCTGGACTCTCAGCAAACTCTGACCAATTTATATCATTAATAACAAAGGGCTGGATAAATCCTGGCTACATCTCCTGCAGCAAAGCACATCCAGGTACTAACTGAAGCACAGGTTCATTCCCACACCCACCCCAGCACCATCTGACCCAGGAAAACCAAACAGCTCTGCCAGAGCTGAGGCTGATGAAGGTCAGGATGTGTGGTGACCATTTCAAATGTCACTCACTGTCTGCCTCTTGTGGGAGAACCAATTTACACATGATCCATTACCCTGTAATCACAGTTTTATCTTCTGGACAGAGACTCTGGCAAGGAAAGCCTGGCTGTGAAATCAGGCCCAACTGAGTGCTAAGAGTGAGGGATCTTTGTGTATCAGGATTTCAAATGTTAATGGGAAAAAAATCCAACTGAGGAGGTATTACAGACTCCAGGTATTACACAGCATCCACCCCAGGCATTAAGAGAGGCTATTTCTTGTAGGGAAATTATTGGATAAAGTTGGAGCCTGGAGCCAGTTTGAGACTGGGCCATATTTTAGATGCCATCAGCTCTTTCTGCCTGGATATATAATTATATCTAGTGAATTATCCAGGAGAGAAAATTGCCTCCTAACACATTCACCCCCTCTCTGTCTCCAGTCCTGCTGCCACATATTTGGTCAGGGTTGACCCTCCTGGGCTCACAGACAGGCTGGAGCACCTCTGGTGGGCAGGGGAGCTCCTCCTGGGGCTGCCACAATCCCCAAGCACTGAGAGAGTAAAGCCAAAAATAAGGAATAAACTGCTTTGCTTCCCTCCCACTCTTTCATCCTAAAACATCTCTGAAAAAACTAATGTACCTCTGTAGACTATAATTTCCAAATTTCCTCTAATCCCATGCATAATTACATGGAGCACTGCACTGGTATCCCTTCCATGCAAATATTGCTATAAAGTGCAGAGTTTTCATTGCATTACATGACAAAAAAATAACTGTGCTCATTTATTCTGGGCCATATGTGGTTACACAACGTAAGGCAATGAGACAGCATTTTTCACTAGCTTTTTGTTGTGGACACCACCCATTTATCTTTCTCATAACCCTCTCCCCAGCGCATGCTAACAAGGTTATTTTAGTCAGCTCTTTAATTATTTAACATGGCTGGGAGGTTACTGGGTTGCTCAGAGCAGCCCTTTCCTGAGGCAGCTCCTTCCACCCCGACTCCCTGGAGCCCCCAAGCCCTGATTCCCTGTGGCCTCGAGCAGCAGCATCCACAGATCCACATCCCAGATGCCTTCAACACGGTCCAAGCGGACACCACAACATCCAGCCTTGTTGCTGCCACTCAGGTGTCTCCACAACCTCTAACTCCTGGTGGTTCAACTCATCAGGGAGACCCTCAGGGTTACATGGGGACGATGGGGCATCACCTGCCCTCAGGTTGTCTCCAAAAAGGGATGTAGAGGGTGCAGAAAGGTTGCAGGAACCTCAGAGAAGAGTGAGAAACCCCTCACACCTCCCAGCTGCTCCTAAGCAATGACTGTTTGCAACCAGCTTAAACGCAGAAACACACAACTCCGTGTCTGTCCACATTTTAGCACCATCCACAGCTATTTTTAAAGATAAAACAAGCCCCAGAACAACCCATTGTGACATTCTGCCCAAGAGAAACAACTCCCACAGCAAACCCTTCCCTTCCACAGCAGCAGATAAAACCCTGAGGCAGCACTTGGTCAGAACTTGTAGTTCCTGCTGGTTCTCAGCTCTGAACCAAGGAAAACAAGTGTGTTGGCAGATCTGGAGTCACATGGGAGTGTCCAACACCCCTGTGACCCCATTTACACTCCTGGCTCACAGGTAACCTGTGAACTGGTTCATATCTGGGCAGCCTGGGGCACAGCCTCGTCCTAAAGATCCCACCCCCTCCTTGCACTAAGCACTGACCTCCCCACTCCACCTCTCGGAGCTCATCCAACCCTTCAGCTCCCCACAGCTCTTCTCCTCCTCCCCAGCTGATCAGTGTTGCCTGTCTCTGTCCCTTCCCATCCCCTCTGCCATCAAACACCAAATTCCACGACCCAACCCCATCCCTCCCCAGCTGGCTCTGCCACAGCTTGTCCTCGGCCACACCCCGAGCGCCAGCAAACAAACTCAACCCCCGTTCTTGGAGGACAACGGAGCAGAAGGTCCTGCCAGATATTTAAATGTCACACTGGGGGGGTCCAGTTTCCTCAGTGCACTTCATTTGGTGGTTTTTGAAGCCCAGCAAGCTCCAGGGTGGTGTCACAGTCACAGGGGACATTCCATCTGCCAAAGCTTTCCTGTTTCTCCCAAACGCGGCACTTCAGTCAATAAGAGAGGTTGTTCTTCCCTCCCAAGTCTTTACTGACTGTTACATCTACTGGCTGAGAAAGGTTCATCCCAACAGAAATGATCCACTTCTATGATCCTCCAGAGGCCCCAGTCTGGGCACTGGGGTCAAAGAGCTGCTGCCACCAGCACACCCCTCACACCCCACCTCCTGCCAGCCCCAGCCACCCAGCCCCTCCTTTAACAACCCCAGCAGCTTGCACTTGGTTAAATTAACTGTTTATTTGTCAAAGGCTTGATTCCTGTCCAGAATAAACTGTCAGTTCCTCCTCTGATGGCTGAATTTGCTGTCTGGAACACAGGAGCCAAAAGGAATGAAAAAGGTCTCTGTGTAAATGGGAATAGACCTGATTTCAGCTTCCAGGGATTATGTCATTGAGCAAAGCACAGATATTTTGGTTCAGGATTCCAGTCAGGTGGGGATTCGCACATTTGCAGCTGTTCTTTCCCTGTCCATACAATCCAAGTTAGGATCCAGGTGGATCTTATCCACCTGGCCAGAAACCACTGCTGGTCACAGCAGCACTTCTGATACAGAACAACCCAAGACACATTTTTCCCCAAGTCTGCCTTGAGAGGAGCAGGACTTCCCATTCATGAAAACACAGTGCTGCATTCATGAATCCACACTCAGTCCATGACACAGGAATAATCACCTCATTGCTTAGGATTTGCACAAACTTAACACTCTCATTAAGGCAAAGCCACTCTGTCAGAAGCAGCAAAACACCAGACTACACAAATCTCCACAGTTCCTACACTTCCCCAGTGCTCTTGCTTTTCCAGATTCCTTCGCCCTCCCAAACCCTTCCTGGCTGTGTCACAGCCTCTCTGAGCTGCCAGGGGTTATGACACTCTCCCAACCCCAAGGTGGCTTCCTCCCTTCATCTCCCTGCATTTCATGGAATCCCAGAATGGTTTGGGTTGGAAGGGACCTTAAGGATCACATCCTTCCACTCCCTGCAATGGGCAGGGACACCTTCCACTAGCCCAGGTTGCTCCAAGCCCCATCCAACCTGGCCTTGGACACTTGCAGGGATGGGGCAGCCACAGCTTCTCTGGGCAACCTGTGCCAGGGCCTCCCCACCCTCACAGGGAAAAATTCCTTCACAATATCCCATCTATCCCTGCCCCGTAGCAGTAGGAAGCCATTCCCTGTGTCCTGTCCCTCCACCCCTTGTCCCAAGTCCCTCTCCAGCTCTCCTGGAGTCCCTTTAGGCCCTGGAAGGGTTTCTCAGGTCTCCCTGGAGCCTTCTCTTCTCCAGGTGAACACTCCCAGCTCTCCCAGCCTGGCTCCAGAGCAGAGGGGCTCCAGCCCTTGGAGCACTTTTTCCCAATAGCCCCCCTAACCCTTCCCTCTGTCAGGCTGAAGCTGTTCCCCTTTGACCTGTCACTTCGAGCTGTTGTAAAAAATCCCTCCCCACCTTTCCCGGAGGCTCCTCCAGCACCCGGATTATCCCACTGCTGATGGACAGGGAGCCTCCTCCAGGCTCCAGGACGTACCTGATGGGCAGGGAGGGGTCCCCAGCGTCCCACCAGTCCTTGGGGGGGCTGATGTACATGCACCACAGCTCCCAGCTGTACCCGTGGGCAGAGTTCTCGTAGCGCTGCACCTCGAAGTTGTCCTGCTTGATGTTGTCTATGGAGGGCAGGATGACCCTCTTCCGGTTTTCCTGGATCCGGGAAAGCACCGGCTCGGCCCTGAAGCAAAGCACAGAAGAGAGTGTGAATTCCTCCCACAACTTGCAGCTGGGCACTGTAGCCTCCATACAATTTGTTCCCAATATCCCATCTAACCCTGCCCTCTGGCAGTGGGAAGCCATTTCCCTCTCGTCCCGTCACTCCTCAAAAGTCCCTCTCCAGCTTTCTTGGGAGCTCCCTTTGGTACTGGAATGTGCTCTTCGGTCTCCTCAGACCCTTCTCTCCTCCAGGCTGAGTAACTCCAGCTCTCTCTGCCTGTCCCCCAGCCCTCAGAGCACCTTTGTGGTCCTCATATGGACCAACAGCTCCATGGCTTTCTTGTGTTGGATGAAAACATGATCCCCAGGCTGGGAAGCCTGGCTTGAAACCTTCCCTTCTGGAAAGCAAGGCCATGAAGGACATGCTTTGTTCAAACCACGCCTGAACTAGTCCAGACTTCCTCCAGATCCAAACCCCATTTCCCTGAGAAGAACAAGATAAATTCTTGAAAGCAGGACTGTCTGAAGGGTCTTTTTTCCCTTGGAATATGGTTTGATGACTCTGTAGCAACAAAATTCAGCTCTGGGACACTCAGACATGTTCAGAGCAGGGGGCTGTGCTCAGCCCCCATCTGCCCTGGGCTCCCTCTGCCAACACAAGGGGTAACCTGCACTCTTGGTGTCTCCAGCAGCGGGTACAAAAGACCAGAGGGAGTCAAGCCCACCCTGCAGAAACACCTCCACTCTACCCCTAGAAAAAAGGCTTCAAGAGCTCAGTAAATAGTAGCTTCCTCAGTAGATCAATAAAATCAGGTGTGAGGGCTTAGTGACCTGGAGAGAGGAATGTTCAGCTGGGAATACAGATATCAACACAGGAGACAGCTCCTAAGGACACCCTTCAGCTGCACCATTGTTACAAAGTCAATAACTGTGCAGAACTCTGGCTTCTTCCACAAACATGGACCATTTACTTCTTACACTTGGTTAAAGGGAAAAAAAATCCCTCTCAGGCTCCTGTCATGATATAGATTCAACCTTAAGCCAGTTGAGTTCAAATGTTTTGAATCTCTCTGAAAAAAAATCCTTAAGAGACACCTTTTGCTGCTTCTGCACCTCTGCACGTATTCCCAGCAGCAGAGGAAACAAATCAATCCAAAGCATCTGAGCCTTCCCCACTGGGATCCAGCTTCAAAGGGCATGGAAATGGGAAACACTTTCTCCTTTAGTCTCTTGTGATTGGGCTTTCTTAAACCTACAGAAATTACTTAAAGCTAAGGAAATGGGAAATCATCCCGAAAAATGGAACCAGGGAGCAGGGAAAGTGCAAAAAGGGAGGGAACAGAGAAGGATGAGAGGAAACAAGGGCAAGGGAAGGTTTTCACAGAATCTCAGAATGTGCTGAGCTGGGAGGGACTCACAAGGATCATGGAGTCCAACCCTCAGCCCTGCACAGGCCCAGCCCCAAGAGTCACCCCCTGTGCCCCAGAGGATCAGCCAAACCCTCCCTGAGCTCTGGCAGCCTTG